GACCGTGCAACCTATGAGCACTTTCGTCTCTTGGATATGCGGTTATTGGTATCTCAGCTATAAATCGCCAAATAGTAAAACGAGGAACTTGAAACGATTGAATCAGACTGTTTATCACAATCAGTGTGCTGCATTGGGTACCTAAAAAGCATTTATTCGACACTCGATAGGACAGCTCTAAACTTCAATCGAATCATGCGCAATGTAAAATGATTTCAGTGATTCACAGGTCAAACCTCCATTTCGCTTGCTTCAGTCAGTGTGGCTGGTAACTGAAACGGGGGTAAACGGTCAAATTTAAACAGCAAATTACATCACATGTTGTATTAGCCAGCCAGGCATGATAACCACAAAACTAAAAATGGGCACTACTGGGGGCCTACTGTTGTGACAATTCAATGTCCTTGCGGTAGCTTAAAACTGACCCGGTTATGTTTTTATTTACAAAAATGATTATGTTATGCAACTTTATGTAAAACCAAAATCCCTAGCAGGTCTGAAACTATTTCAAGTTCCTTAGTAACTTTACACGATACATCTTTAAGCTCCGATGAGTTTAGCAGGGTGATATTTTTCGTAAGCCGAAGATCTAATTTCACTTGATAAATCGGATACCAACAGATTGACCATTGGCGAAAGGAAGCTTTGTAATCATCCAGCTCTATTTCACATTCATCCTATTGGGGCACTGTGTGATTCAGCCTTCGAAATCCTAGGGCATAGTTTACCCGGTGCAATGAACCGTAAATTTTGAAGAATGATTGGGTTGTCCGATTGGAGTTGTTCATCCCACAACGATGCGCAATAAAAGGACAAAGTACACGCACTAGGTTTGAGATTTCTACTCATATTGACACGGCTGTCACTAAAAAATGGTGGAGGATGAATAGACAAAAGTAGACAACCTTACCTCCACCCTAACCACTTTGTTCCAGTTATATTGTTGATGGACCTAACAAGTGCAAACGCTCAAATTATTGATCTGATTAATGATTAGGTAAAAGGGCCATTTTCACCTAAAACTGTCTATTTTTGGGTATACTTAATGTTTTTATAACTTAAATCTTGTTGTTTGCTTCTTTTGGGCCTTAATTGTCCATCCCCAGCTGTCGGCCGCTGATTGGTCAATTCTGTAAATTTTCTCACCTTTGGCATCAATTTTTTCAACTTCCGGAAACCGGAAAAGTATATAAGTAGACTATGTGAAACGGTAGATTTGACTTACTGTCGGTGTGTCCGTTACACTTTCATTGCTCACCACTTGTGTTCTTATTTCCGTAGCTGAGAGAAGACTACTATAGCAATCTGTGTTGCGATCGTACTCGGGGGCCAGACGAGTTGTGTGGCCGTTCCGCAGTGTTCGGATCTACCTCGTATCTCCGTGTGTGTTCGCGGTCTGCCGCATCGTGCATGTCGACTGTGAGTGTTCAATCGGTGTT